GCGCAATACACACGCAGCATACAATCAGCACCGTGTAAAGGAAACATGCAATCTGTGCAACAATGCACCAGATGCCGCAGAGTGTCTTTAATTCATTCTAGGAAACAAAATTCTTGGACCATACAAAGCGTCAACAATACAATATTACGTCCCTGATTCAGGGAGGAAAACAAGAATAACAATTATCTGAAGAACCTGTAAACATTAACCGACTCGGTTTGGCATATACCCACTTTAATTTAATTAACAGACCTAGACTTCTTACCAAAAGAGCATTTTCACCTTTTGCACAGAGCACAATTGTCAAACTATAAAACACGACTTAAATCTGGTAACAATTATGAGCAAATAATGTGTGTCCCCCAAACGGAATATAACATATCCTAAATACTGACTGAGCAACATGATAATGCTTACCTAAAAGAAGTAAATTCTATGGCGCATGGGTATATAGCCCACTGCTGTAAAATGCCCAAACAGTTCGTGTGTACAGTCAAAGAAGGGCTTTTACAATGTTCTTGCATCTTGTGCCCTGCCCTTTTGGCCTCAGGTATATCTATCTATCCGAGGTTACTATTTGACGATCAACTGCAAATTAACGAAGGGAATCGCAACAGGAACAACAACAAAAACAACAACAGCAACTTCCATTTCGAATGTCTTGGTCTGGGGTTACTGTCTTTGCGGCGTCCTACGGTGAACTTTCACTGAATATATATGTAGTTGGAATTAAAGTTTTGAGTAGTGAATCAATACTAAAAAAGTACACAAGGAAATAAAAGTCTAAGAAAAGTCGCAGCTATAAATGTGGGGTTCAAATTGACTGGAATAGAGTCAGGTACTACGAAACTATTACCATTATGTATAGCTGCTATTTTTATGGATGGAATATGTTTATGTGTGACGTTTCGATGACTAGTACGGTATGTACTCTGTCACCTTCATCGGAAAACTGACTTGTAAAACGTATGTACGAGCTGTTCACGCAAATCGATGTCGATTCGGCTGAAAGCGTATGTACAATAAGTTGTTATAATAATATGTACCGAAATGACTCGATTCAGCTACACTTTGTTTAATACTTGGTCAATTATATGCAAGAGTCTATGTATCCCCTCATCTCGATTTAGAACTAGCCTACTGCGGCGTATCCAAACGGTTTCCTTCATCTGCCGCTGAAACAGATTGCTCTCTCTGTCCAATACTTAGTTATCCCAGTCAATAACATGACTTTTCTGTGTGGCATGGTCTGTGATTGCCGACTTATTTATCTGAGACTCCGACTGTTTCCTTTCTGATCGAGTGAATTTCTTTCCCTCTTGTGTTTTCGTATCTTTCTGGTAACAACGAGGCGGACCCCAAATCGCCTTCCAGTCTCTCCAATAAACGTTGCGACGCAGTTTTTGCATCCGATTTTGTGTTCGCATTCGTCGACGTTTTCATTAGGTGTTTTATCCTTAGAATGTACTAGGATATTACAAAGCGTTTTGTGGGGCTCCATGGCTGTTGCTATACCATGACTGCGATAAAGCCTCTATATGTTTTCGGTAACACCTTTTATATTCCGTATGACCACCTGAACTTTGGTTTCGTGCTGTATCATGGTTTGACCTTTTCTTGTTCTTCCTTTTATTTTGACACTATTTTTGTACCGGTTAGAGGGCCCAATCCGGATATGCACAATTGCCCTAGCGATGTGAATCTGTTCTTATGTGTTGTCCTGTTATTTTGTGGCAATTGTATCACATCTGTTGAGCAATATGCGTACGACGCCTAACTGCTGGTGCCAAGGATGGTGGTATTTGATGTTCAGGTATTGGTCCGTATGGGTATTTTTTCTTTAGACCAATACCTTCACGGTTCCGTCTTCTTTCTTTACCAGTAGAGTGTCTAGGAAGGGCATTGTGTCGTTGGTGTCTTCCTCACATGTAAATTTGATGTTGTTAATGGCATCTATGGTGTTGATATGTGTGGTCAAATCCTTCTGAGACCCCTTCTTGATTGTCTCGATTATATCGTCAACGCATCGTTTCCATAAGCTAGGGTTTCATTCTAGTAGACCAGTGGCTATTGTTTCCTGCACTTCTTGATACGCAAATGAAGATAACATAGCTTATTGCAGAGCATACTACAATATGAACTCTGCATCGTATTGGTCGGCAGGAAATAAGGAAAATATACAATGTAATTGATGAAGACCATGGTGTATCGGTTACGTTTCCCTTAAATAAATACACTTAAAACAGACATGAGAAAGCGGGAAAAGCTTATTTACTTTCAAGAAAACTATTCACACATTTACACTGTACAGTCTGTTCTTTCTGAACGCAGTCTAGTTGTTACTGCAAAACATTAATACACACGCTATTAGTCTGTTTTATTTATTACATAGAGTTGAAAATAATGTATGGCTATACATTAAACCCCATTGATTGAAAACATTAACTTCTTTTCAATTAGGTTATTTCGACTACATTTAACATATACATTCATATGGAATGTATTTAAGTAATTTCAATCGGAAAACAACTCGGGCCTTTCCGTTATTATTTTCCATGTATATCTTAAGAGTGACGGAAAAGCCCCAGTGGTTTTCCGATTGACCCGAAGTAAGCAACAGGAACAACAGAACAAATTCGATGTAGGTTTTGACAATAGCCCCTGTGATAGATTTGGTACGCTTATGAATGCCAATTGGTCTGCTGATTGGCTGGGATAATTTTCAAAAAAGAAATATAAAATACAGCGGCTGCGCTATTTATTAAATAAGACATTTATCTGTACATGGCATTTGATAAGAAGATACAGTATACATGTATTTTTATCTCTTAAGAATAAAAAATGAAAGTAAGCATGATTTTTGACTGGGTTACCGTTCCTTTTAACTGTGAGCAGCACATCAATGTACATACACGGAATGACGTTTTGTGTACTATCCCTTATATATATACGAGGCTGACCGACTTGTCGTGGTGCCCGGATCTAGACACGTTGTACGTCGAATTGATATTACTCGAGTTGTTCCCGGGCTGATTATGTGGGTAAGTTTAGGTAAGGTATGTATTGGAAGGTCCCGGGGGAGGGGTCTCTACATGATCTTCCATGATTGTATGTGCTAACGGCTGGGGCAGAGCCCGGGTTAATCTGATTTAATTTCCTCAGGGACAGATTCATAGAATAGTCTCCCCTAGTTATTTCCAAATTACACATCATATTCCTTTAACAAGTCCTGTTTTCAAAGAAAACAATCACATGAATACAGTTTGTGTATATGAAATCCTCCTATGCATGAAGTTACTATCTGTAAAGGATGGTGACGATTCTTAGAGACTTATGGATATTAATATGAAATTGATGATGGATTTATCCTAGACGTAAGACGGTAATAATGATAGATATCGGTAGTGACCTCTTAGACTCATATATAGAGCTCAGCACCATTGTCTCGTCTCACCTTTCCGCCTCGTATCATTTTTCATCTCACTCATCGATCTGGCTCCGGTTGTAAGATAAACTAAGTGCATGTGCGCCGTGGCGTCGATCTATAGGGTTCCCGATAGCAACGTCGGTCTTTGTAGAAAAGGGACTGTATCTTAATAAAATTAAAAGGACAATATATACAAGTGAACAATGTGCCTTAATTGCTTCGTTTCACTGACAGCTTTATATTGCAGTCTAAGTCAATAATCGGAGAGGTGCAGTGCGGTGATTGCTATTCTGTAAGATATATACTACATACAAATCTGTTTGTCGTAGCTATGAAGTCTCGACCTTCACATGATCAATCATGGATCAGCGTATCTACTCAACGTTGAAGTAAACTGAAGCCGTAAAGTTACTTTTATTTACACCAATAGGTCGTTTCGTTATTTTCCTATATTGTATTTCGATAAATTGATGTGCCCAGGATAGTGTGACGGGAGTACGGCGGTGCAGTGTCTCAGACTCCGATATTGATCTCAGACAAATAATCACCCCTCCCCTATATCATACCAACGCTGATACAATCAACTCGCTACTTTGTCCACTTGAAACCCGAATCCATCACAAGTTCTCACCACCAGCGAAAGTTGAGAGGATTTTGTGTCGGTCTTTTCCTTCCGAAAATTGTCTAACCGTAATTGTCGGTTGTGTATAATATACACCGATACAACGGACGGAGCTTGGCGTAAAAAGGACACGGCTGTTTTTACGTAATCGATGGGCACCGCTTTCAGGTGAACTAACGTAGCGCCCACGGTCGGCTCTTCTCCCGCCTTATATATATACCGGTGCGTATTGATCCGAGGCTACGTACGCCTTGGAACACCAATATCTATAACAGCCAAAAGATACAGCATAGTCGAAATATAGTTATAATATCTTCAACAAAATATACACAATGGTTCACTAAAGAACCAAGGCATATCAAAAAGTTACAGCAAAGACGCATGCAGCATCGTTTTTATATATTTCAACAAACACTTAAAATCACACCAAAAGTCCATGTATTTTACCAGCAGGCTACATTAAAAAAAAAGGTTCATATGATATTTTTGTTCACATCTACAGCAAATTTACAATGTTTAGTTAATTGTGAAAGTGTCATCAACTTATATCAATCACTCGTGGTGTTCCGGATGGTATCGCGCACGGGGTATCAATGTGGGAGGAAACCGGATTACCCGGAAAAAACCCACGTCTCAAATGCTACTTTAACGTAAACCAATAGGTCACAGCAAAAAGCATAGCTGCAAAAATATTCATTACAGTCACAAACCTATATAAAGACGCATCAAGCATGCCACCTAAAACGCTCGAGTCTCGGCATAGAATCAACTGTACGAATATTGCAATAACATAAATCATTCATTCAGATATTTCAAAAACACAGAAGTCAATAAAAGTATTGAAAAAGACTCACATCACAGCAGCAACATGCACTACAACAAATCACAAGTCACATCAAAGACCAAAGTCATAGCAAAGACAAAGATCATATCAAAGACAAAAATCTACAGCAAAGACAAAAAAACATGTCAAAGTCATAAAGCCACAACAAGGACAAACGATACAAAAAAGTCACAGCAAAGATAACAAATCACGACAAAGACAAAAGTCACGACAAAAACCAAAAGTCACGACAAAGACAACAGTCACGACAAAGATAAAATTCTCGACAAAGACAAAGGTCACGACAAAGACAACAGTCACGACAAAGACAAGGGTCACAACAAAGACAAAAGTCACAGCAAAGACAAAAGTCACAGCAAAGACAACAATTACGACAAAGACAAAAGTCACAGCAAAGGCAAAAGTCACGACAACAATAAAAGTCACGATAAAGACAAAAGTCACAGCAAAGACAAACGTCACAGCAAAGACAACAGTAACAGCAAAGGCAAAAGATACAGCTAAGAGAAAAATCACAGCAAAGACACGCATGACAGCAAGGACAATAGTCACAGCAAAGACGATAGTTACAGCAAGGACAATAGTCACAGCAAAGACAATAGTCGCAGCAAAAACAAAGGTCACAGCTAAGATAAAAGTCACAACAAAGACAAGCATGACAGCAAAGACACACATGACAGCAAAGACGATAGCCACAGCAAAGACAATCGTCACAGCAAAGACGATAGCCACAACAAGGACAATAGTCACAGTAAAGACGATAGCCACAGCAAGGACAATAGTCACAGCAAAGACGATAGCCACAGCAAAGACGATAGCCACAGCAAAGACAATAGTCACGACAGAGACGATAGCCACAGCAAGGACAATAGTCACAGCAAAGACAATAGCCACAGCAAGGACAATAGTCACAGCAAGGACAATAGTCACAGCAAGGACAATAGTCACAGCAAAGACAAAGGTCACAGCTACGATAAGCATGACACCATTAGGAGCAAGTGATAGCAAACACATAATTCATGCATTGATAAAAACTAAAGTTTTCTTCATTAAGAGCTTAAAGTAGCGGCCGATGTTTAAAACGTATTCAAAAACACCTTCATCTCTACTGTACACTCGGTATAATAACTTCATAAATTGTGGCCCCCCAAAAAAACACGTTTCTAAATAATCGCTGAACTAAACTCAAACATGAGAAAAGAGCTATAGAGAAAGAAACCAAGCATGTTCCTCTCTTGAGTACAATATGTCAATATAAACTTTATTTCATTTTTTTTTTTCATTTACAGAATGATGTAGAGCAATACACAATTGTTGAAATTTGATTTGGAATAGGTTAAAGGCAAGACGAAAATTATCGTTTATATATAGAGAGAGAGATATCTGCCCTCAATCTCGAGCATTGCTTTACGACTGAAAGAACGCGGGGAAGACCGACCGTATATATTGTACTACTGTCAGTGCTTGCCGTAACTCTATCAACCTCAACCACGGCATTCCGCCACCAATAAAAACGACCGTAGACACCTACAAAGATCTAGTTACAAAAGCATACATTCCGAGCCCATATACCACTACCACTACCTATACAAGGCAAGGACTCCAACAAAACCTGAACAACCAAAGCCATTAACTATGGATTGCTTACATCCAACAATATCCAACGTGAACCATCTAGCACCAATAATAACAACATAACAATTTTCCAATCATGGACCTTCCCAGGCCATGACTGTCTTCCACATGAAACATACACTGTAGATTTATGATCACAGACAACAAACACCAGCGACCTATTTCTGCAATAACTAACATTCTAAATGATAGATTTCCATGACAGATTTTCTATCACTACTAAAACTCACTATCGACTAGACAACCTACAACAGACAGCATCCAACATATATATGTTACGAAAAAAAATCCCCGCCTTTGACCTTCTACCACTGAAAACATTCAGCCTAACCATTCTACGATAAACTATCCCCGCCATTGACCTTCTACCACTGATAACATTCAGCCTAGACATTCTACGAAAAACTATCCCCGCCATTGACCTTCTACCACTTATATCATTCAGCCTAGACATTCTACGAAAAACAATCCCCGTCATTGACCTTCTACCACTGATAACAGTCAGTCTAGACATTCTACGAAAAACAATCTCCTCCATTGACCTTCTCCCACTGATAACAGTCAGCCTAGACATTCTATGAAAAACAATATCCGCCATTGACCTTCTGCCATTGATAACAATCAGTCTAGACATTCTGAGAAAAACAATCTCCGCCATTGACCTTCTACCACTGATAACAGTCAGCCTAGACATTCTACGAAAAACAATCTCCGCCATCGACCTTCTACTACTGATAACAGTCAGTCTAGATATTCTACGAAAAACAATCTCCGCCATTGACCCTATACCACTGATAACAGTCAGTCTAGACATTCTACGAGAAACAATCTCCGCCATTGACCTTCTACCACTGATACCAGTCAGTCTAGACATTCTACGAAAAACAATCCCCACCATCGACCTTCTACCACTGATAACAGTCAGTCTAGGCATTCTACGAAAATCAATCTCCGCCATTGACCTTCTCCCACTGATAACAGTCAGTCTAGATATTCTACGAAAATAATCTCCGCCATTGACCCTCTACCACTGATAACAGTCAGTCTAGACATTCTGAGAAAACCAATCTCCGCCCTTGACCTTCTACCACTGATAACAGTCAGCCTAGACATTTTACGTAAAACAATCCCCGCCATTGACCTTCTACCACTGATAACATTCAGCCTAGACATTCTACAAAAAGAATCTGTGTTACAGACATTCTATCATTGAAAACATCCACCATAGATATTCTACTAAACACATCTCTATCCATAGTTATACTTTCCGATACCTCATGTATGATGCGGATGACTACCCATCGACATTCTACCACTGATAACAGTCAGTCTAGACATTCTGAGAAAAACAATCTCCGCCATTGACCTTCCACCACTGATAACAGTCAGCCTAGACATTCTACTAAAAACAATCTCCGCCATCGACCTTCTACTACTGATAACAGTCAGTCTAGATATTCTACGAAAATAATCTCCGCCATTGACCCTCTACCACTGATAACAGTCAGTCTAGACATTTTGAGAAAAACAATCTCCGCCATTGACCTTCTGCCACTGATAACAGTCAGCCTAGACATTCTACGAAAAACAATCTCTGCCATCGACCTTCTACTACTGATAACAGTCAGTCTAGATATTCTACGAAAATAATCTCCGCCATTGACCCTCTACCACTGATAACAGTCAGTCTAGACATTTTGAGAAAAACAATCTCCGCCATTGACCTTCTGCCACTGATAACAGTCAGCCTAGACATTCTACGTAAAACAATCTCCGCCATTGACCTTCTACCACTGATACCAGTCAGTCTAGACATTCTACGAAAATCAATCTCCGCCTTTGACCTTCTACCACTGATAACAGTCAGTCAAGACATTCTACGAAAAACAATCTCCCCCATCGACCTTCTACCACTGATAACAGGCAGTCTAGACATTCTACGAAAAAACAATCCCCGCCATTGACCTTCTACCACTGATAACATTCAGCCTAGACATTCTACAAAAAGAATCTGTGTTACAGACATTCTGTCATTGAAAACATCCACCATAGATATTCTACTAAACACATCTCTATCCATAGTTATACTTTCCGATACCTCATGTATGATGCGGATGACTACCCATCGACATTCTACCACTGATAACAGTCAGTCTAGACATTTTGAGAAAAACAATCTCCGCCATTGACCTTCTGCCACTGATAACAGTCAGCCTAGACATTCTACGAAAAAACAATCCCCGCCATTGACCTTCTAACACTGATAACAGTCAGCCTAGACATTCTACAAAAAGAATCTGTGTTACACACATTCTATCATTGAAAACATCCACCATAGATATTCTACTAAACACATCTCTATCCATAGTTATACTTTCCGATACCTCATATATGATGCGGATGACTGATAACAGTCAGTCTAGACATTCTACGAAAATCAATCTCCGCCTTTGACCTTCTACCACTGATAACAGTCAGTCAAGACATTCTACGAAAAACAATCTCCCCCATCGACCTTCTACCACTGATAACAGGCAGTCTAGACATTCTACGAAAAAACAATCCCCGCCATTGACCTTCTACCACTGATAACAGTCATTCTAGATATTCTACGAAAAACAATCTCCGCCATTGACCTTCTACCACTGATAACAGTCAGCCTAGACATTCTACAAAAAGAATCTGTGTTACAGACATTCTATCATTGAAAACATCCACCATAGATATTCTACTAAACACATCTCTATCCATAGTTATACTTTCCGATACCTCATGTATGATGCGGATGACTACCCTTGCAGTGGCTCTGTCATAAGCATTACATCGTCTAATTTCAGCAAATTATAAAGTTATTCGCATTCTTGGTTCAAATCATTCAGCAAAAAGACGTATTGACAGAAATGTATATATACATGTATATATGTAATTAACCAGGTTTGTAGCTGATAAATATTAAAAATCAATAAAACAAATACTCGTGTAATGAAAACAACATTGTCGAGTTTTGTTTATTTTTTTTCTCCTGTTCGCCTTTTATACTGTATATGGCAAGATTCAACACCGTGTAAAGAATGAAAATCCTATCGCAAAAGCGGCATACATGTATAACTAATGTGCATGCTATAATCTAAAAGAATGATGCAGGTTGCAATCATTTTACCGATAAAAATAGACCGAAGTCATAAAGTTGCAATAGCTGTAGTAAATCCAAACGAAGGCAACGCTGATGAGCGTAGGCCGATACGAAAGAACCCGATACTAGCCACACACAGGCAACCTCCGGAGAAAAGTCAGTTAACGTCCATTTTGTTTTTGATTAATTGCATTAATAAATTCAGTTTTTGAGTGTGTTGACCGCGATATGGAGGTTATCATTGGCCAGAATACGTTATGTTTATTACAGAAAATTAAATCAAAACACAAACCTTAAATTTAGGTCATAAAATACAACAATCAAATGTGCACGATAACTTATTGAATTGCAACATGAAACATTTGAGCACCACTTAAACTGCACATTATCTTTTTTTCATAAAACATAATTTTACAATTTGTAGTTTTATCCCTCTGTATCCTACTGCATGATATGCTGAGGCGACTAATTCGGAATCCCCTGTAGAATTGGATTTGTTCTCGTGTTCTGCTGTATGTGCCTACCAGACACTGAGGAAACCACTATTGATCTGAACATTTCATATCTTCTACTTTTGTACGGAATCTTTACTTTTGTTTCTCTATCGATACGTCCACTCTAAATGCCTCTTCTATTGTATTTTACTGTATGACAGTATTGTTTTAACGAGTCAATAATGCCTAAGTAATACGTTTATAGCTTGTTCATTTTGTGCAATAGCAGCAGTTATTGCAATTTAAAGTAGAAAAATGCTCGTCATTTCTGTGTATCAAAAGAGATCTGATAACGCATGCAGCTTCACATTAATCGCCTCTAATGATAATTTAGTGGGATACACCGTTCTCCAGAAAACCTCACATAAGTCTAATGATGATTATGTGGATATAATATTCCAGGGAACCTCAATTGATCGCCTCTTATTATCATGTAGTGGATACCATGTTCGCCAGGAAACTTCAATAAGTCACATCTGGTGATCATGTAGTGGATACCATGTTCGCCAGAAAACCTCAATTAGTAACCTCTGATGATCATGTAGTGGATACCATGTTCGCCAGAAAACCTCACATAAGTCTAATGATGATTATGTGGATATAATATTCCAGGGAACCTCAATTGATCGCCTCTTATTATCATGTAATGGATACCACGTTCGCCAGAAAACCTCATTTAGTCACCTCTGTTGATCATGTAGTGGATACCATGTTCGCCAGAAAACCTCAATTAGTAACCTCTGATGATCATGTAGCGGATACCATGTTCGCCAGAAAATCTCAATAAGTCACCTCTGATGATCA